TTTTTAATATTAAAAAACACATTAGTCAACTGTCAACTTGTTCAGAAATCTCCCTTATGAAAATATTATAGCCAAATAAATTGACAGAGTGGAAATTTCTAGTGACTGAAATACTGTTCATTTATCAAGAAGATAAAACTGATTTAAACATCAACCTTTCTCCTAGCCTGGATTTTTCATCTCATTAGTCAACATAAATTAAATTTTTCAGTGTAAGTACTTTGCATTAACAGAGCGATCAATTTCTACTAATCCCTTTTGCTGTTCTTCCCACAGAGTGCACAGAATGCCAAATCTTACATCTAACTCTGGGTTCCTACTTCTGGAATTTTCTCAAGTTCAAGAGTTACAGATCTTACACTTCTCCCTATTTCTAGCCGTATACCTGATCACCCTGCTGGGGAATCTTTTCACCATCATTTTGATTACCCTTGACCATCATCTGCACACACCAATGTACTTCTTCTTAATGAACTTAGCAATGATTGATATAGGTTCCATTTCAGCTATTGTACCCAGATCCATGCTGAATTCACTCATGAACAAGAGTTTCATTTCTTATTCTGAATGTGCCATTCAAGTTTTCCTTTTCTTTTTCTTTGATTCATCTGAAATCTTTCTCTTAACAGTAATGGCATATGACCGTCATGTTGCTATTTGCAATCCATTACAATATGAAGCAATAATGAACAATGGAGCCTGCATTGAAATGGCAGTCATTGTGTGGGTAGCTGGTTTTCTTCATGGCATATTGCACACCAGTGGCACATTTTCAACAACTTTCTGTTCCAATAAAGTTGACCAATTTTTCTGTGAAATCCCCAAGCTACTGAAACTTTCTTGCTCTGACCTATACCTAGTGGAAGCTGTTCTTCTCGTAGTGAGTTCTAGCCTAGGGATGGGATGCTGTATCTTCATCGTTACAAGTTATGTATGGATCTTCAGAGCTGTACTTCAAATCCCTTCTGTACAGGGACGGCAAAAGGCCCTCTCCACGTGCCTTCCACACCTCATTGTTGTCTCGCTGCTCGTTTGCATTGCTGTTTTTGTTTATGCCAGACCTCCCAGCAATAGTTCATCTGATTTAGACTTAGCTCTTGCCATGATGTATGTGATTATTCCTCCTATGATGAATCCATTCATCTACAGCATTAGAAATAAAGAATTTCAGAATGCCTTGTGTAAGTTCTTAAATCGTAGGTAAC